CAAACTAGACCCGTCCGAATCAAGAAACTTTAATTGAAATCAAACTAATTGTATTTGAACCAATAATTTCAGTATTTGAACTATTTGAAATTGAAGCAAGTATAAACTGAACCATATAATTGACTCAAAAATTAATTCAAGTAAATATTTATTTATTAATGTTTTTTTGAATCAAATCATTTTTTTCAGTGATATACTATTAATATACACAAGTAAACATATATTTATGTAACCGAAATTTTGTTATTCACTCAAAAATTTTTTTATTTTCTAATTGAATAATTAAAGAGAACTTGTTTCCTGAATAGAAAACAAATAATTTAATAAAATAAAATCCCAACTAATCTCACGTGGGGATAAAATAGAAAAATAAAATTTCTGACGTCAAAGATAATAATTTTTTGTTTTAAATGAAATGCCTTTAAGAAAATATATAACGTCATTGAATCAGATTTAGTGGAGTGATATAGAAGGGCGAGAGGGGGAAATTGGCGCGTATCGGCGTATGTACAGTGGAAAAAGAGGCACGAACACGCGAGAGAAGAGCATCGCATCGAGACTCTGTTTTTATTATATATATACATACGAAAGCTCCCGAGGTTCTTCGTTCGGAATAGTAGGCGGCCATTTTTAAAAGGAAACCAACTTGTCCGCATAGTAGCTCTGAGCACTGTCACTTACGTAATAATCTGCCAAGTAACGACAAGAGAGAGAGAGAGAGAGAAAGAGAGAGATGAGAAACAACATATACGAACCGAGAATGATAATGAGAATATAGAGAAGAAGAAGAAGAGGAAGAAGAAGAATGATGATAAACATGTGCAATTTGTATAAATATGATATTTAGTTAATTTAATTATTTAATAATGGTAATGAAGAATGTTTCATTATAAGTATTTAAGTAATTTAATTATAAATATTAAAGTTTTAAGTTTTTGTTTTAAAAAACAAAACCATACATAGAAACTTACTTCGTACTGCGGACAGAATGAATGAAAGAATACGGAGAAAATATAGTTAATTAAATACTTAGTCAAATTAGTTATTTATTAAATATTTAGTTCTTAATTAAAACTCCCCCTGATCGCGTGACGTATTATGTGTACGGCCCCTTATTTCTGAATAACAATATTGTTTACAAACTCATTTTTTTCCTTTGAGAAAATTCAAAGTTTTTTAAAAATAAAGGAAAAAAATGTTTATAAATTATATTTGTCAATTAGAAAATTTAAAATTATTCAAAAACAATAATTTATTTTTGAAATATTTTAAATATTTAATTATTATTATTTTTCCATAGTAATTAAAATTTTCAAAAATTTTAAATTCAAACCTTTTTTAAATTAATCAACATTAAAAATATTTGTTATAATATTTTATAATATTATAATAATTAAACATGTTTAATGTTTTATAATAATTAAACATGAACGAGAGATAAAATAATTATTTTATATTATAAGAATATTGTTACTGGTAACTTCTTAAAAATTATTTTCATATTCTAATATTATCTAAACTTTAAATTAAAATTCAATTTCAAATCAATTTTTATTACAAAATTCTACGAAAATTCAATTATTTAAATATAAAAGTGAATTATTTATTGAAGAATTGAATGTTTCTTAAAATTTAATTCTTATAAAGAATTTTATTAACAAGTTTTTAAATAATTGAATTCTTTTGACGAATTTTTATAAAAATTTTTAGAATAGTTACATTTTTACAGGAATTTCATTAAAATTGTATTAAAAATAATTGAAATTCTACGATGGATTTTATTATTTATGAAAATAATTGAATTATTGAGAAAAAAACTTATAAAAAATTTGTAAATATTTGAATTCCTGGGAAATTTGTATTTTTTATGAAAATAATTAAATGTTTGCATACAATTTTATTAAAATTGTTTTTAAATAATTGAATTCTTTTTGGGTAATTTTATTAAAATAAAATATATTGAAAATCATTGAAATGACGAAAATTTTTGAAAATAATTGAATTTCTGCAATTATTTGTAACTTCTTCGAAATTCAATTTTTTTAGTGTTTTTAACTAACATTTTTCTATAAATCCATTATTTTTGATAATTAATTAAAAATATATTCACAAATTTAACTAATTTTAGAAGATTTTGAATTATTAAAATTTTTCAAAAATCTATGTAAGTTCATTAAAATTTCTAATTAAATTCATTCAACATTGAAATTTTATAAAATTTCAAATTGAAACCATTTGAAGTTTATTTATTTATGGAAATTGTAAACGCAACTCTTTTAAGATTGAATTAATTTTGAAATATTTAAGTAAAATTTTATTCATAAAATAATTTATTTAATTTATGATAGTTGTTCAAGATTTAAGTTATTTAAAAAGAAATTTTTGTCAGAATATTGAATTAAACATTTTTACGTTGTATTATTTTTAAAATTTCTAATTTTATTTAAAAAAGCGAGGTAAAGTCAGCCGCGAGCGTAAGCGCGCAAATTGTTGCTAGTAATTTACTAATTTGACTAAATATTTAATTTCTTTAACTAAATACTAAATATTTAACTAATTTAACTGACTATTAAATATTTAACTAATTTGACTAAATATTAAATATTTAGCTAATTTAACTAAATATTAAGTACTTAATTATAAAAAACATATAAACCGCTAGAAGATGAATTTCACTCGCAAAACGTAAAATATAACCGAGAGGGAAAGAGAAAGAGAGAAAAAAATGGAAAACGTTATAAAACATGTGAGTTTGTCGATCTCCGTTTTTCTTTATAAAACAAGTATGTACAAACAAGTGCAAATTACCGTCGCGACCGGTTGACCCCGATGACGTCTTGACGTCACGGGAGAATCTCCGACTAAAAGATTTCTCAAGCAAAGGACAAAAATCCAATAAGTTTTCGCCTCTTTTGGAAAAATAGCGAGAAAACAATTTTTATATTAATTACTCCACACAATTTAAAACAATTAAAACAATTTCAATTATATAAATTTGTAACAAAAAAACAATGTTATTCCTACAGTTCTGAACTTCAAATGCGAACAAAAAAAATTCCGCAAGTGACTAAATAAATATTGTATATCAAATTTGGGACTTGAAATAAAATAAAATTTGTGACTATTTAAAATGAAAAATATGAATGAAGAATAAAATTACAAGTGAAAATATGAAATTAAAGAAAAAGGAGGAGTTATAATTATAAAATAGTGAGAAACAACAATCAGCTTTGATTAAATCTCTATATGTAGTGTCAACTATGTTTTGTTCCTCTGAATCAACTTCTTTCTCTGAATGCTGATTCATCCGGAAATTTAAAGCTACTATTTCTGTTCAATAAAATCATGTATATAATTGTATTTTAAATTTAAAGACAGCTAATTTTAACGTATGAAAACATAATAGCCGCATATGGTTCGAGTAAAATTATAATTTTCGTAGCTTTATAATTTTGTAATTATCACAATTTATACAATTTTTATAACTATTATAATTTTTAGAACTTTGCAATTTTTATAAATTATTCATGTCCCCAAAGTTTCGAACGTTCAAATAACAAAAAATGTTTGTCCACTCTTTTTCTTTTTAATTTTATTGCAATATATTGTATTTTTATAAATAAAAAAAAATCAAATTTTTAACTAACAAAAAATGCTCATTTTTAATATTTTTCACTTCAGATATGCAATTTTTAAAAATATTCGAACACAAAAGAAATATTTCGCTTATTTGAAGATTCAAAAAAGGGAATTATAAATTTTTGTAATTTTGTAATTATTATCATTTTTATAACAATACAATTTTTATTAAACTATACAAAGAACATAAAAATAGAAATAAAGTTGTAAAAATTATAAATGAATATCATTTAAAAATAAAAAAAACTTTCCGTTAACTAGATAAAAAAAAAAAAAGGTTTTCAGAAAAAATTTCTCACAAATTCAATCGCCAATTTGCAAGTGAAAAATCGACAATATTTAATTGATTTTCACTGCGAAAATAGGTAATTAAAGTCGTGAGAAGTTAATCGCTGAATAACGCTAAGATTTAGAGAGAGTAAATTTACAAGTGAAATTTTCACTGTTTCAGATTTAGAGACAAGTAGAAGGCAAACATTAATTTCATTTCAAACTTAAATTAAATAAATAATTTACATCAACAACAACAACAACAATAATAATAACCAAAAAACAAAACCAATAACCAAAAAAATATATTTAAATTAAATTTTCAAATTGAATTAAGCGTAATTTTTATTGAATTATTTATTTTTACTCAGTGAATTATTTTTATAATAATAATAATAATAATAATAATAATAATAATAATAATAATAATAATAATAATAATTGTTGTTGTTATTGTTGCATTTAGTTCATTGTCATGACACTGAAGACCGCAATGTTTTTACAAACGTTTTTGTTTTGATACCGTTGTTATTATTATTGTTGTATTTAGTTAATTATCATGAGGCTGAAATCCGTTTTTAAAATCTTTATTGTTGTTGTTATTGTTCTATTTATTTAATTATCATGACCCTGAAGTCCGCAACGTTTTTCAAAAACCAAAAATATATTCAGACGATATATTTATTTTGACTCCAAAAATTATTTTTATAGTTAACCAACTTCTACAGTAAAAAGTTAATTTCACAAAAAAATTGCGCGCACATTAAATTTGGAAATAAATTAACCTGAAAACAAATTTCTTTCAATTTTTCCGCATTTTTCAAAAACCCAACCAACTTCAGCCTCATTAATTATAATTATTAATTAAAACTAAATCGAGTCAACCGCGAAATTAATTCAATCTAATTAGAGAGACACAAAGAGATCGAATCAAAATGATGAATCATTTTGCCGAACAAATATATTTAGTGTATAAAGTATATTTTAGTATATTTGGTATTTATTTATCATTTACTCAGTATATTTGGTATTTATTTAGTATATTAAGTATATAAAGTATATAAAGCACAAAACAATAGGTAAAAACTCACCAAAGAATTTTTTACGAATAAACGGACAAAATTTGTATGAAATTGATGATCACAATTACTGGTGTATCATTGTTTCGGAAACTTATTGATTTCCCGACACTAATGTCGTATTTCAATGGGGAATTAAACACCTTCATTTCTTTTCACACAACACAATTTTGCCCTTTTTTGGTAAATATTCACAATATAAAATAACTGATCAACGAACAAATTATTTTCGTAATACTAATCAACGAATTATTACATCTTCGCAATATTAATCACCAAACTAATTATATTAAATCTTCGCAATATTTATCACCGAATCTATATTTTCTTCACAAATATTAAACGAACGAGATATTTATTAAATATTTTATTAAATCAACGAACAAATTATTATAAAATTCGGAATATAATAAAGAATCGACGAACAAAAGGAAAAAAAAAATCGAAGAATACACGTGACACTGACGTAGTTGCGTTTGGAGAGAGCGGCTAATCCAGACGCGCGCTCCTCCTGAAACGCTTAATTACAACACTGTATTCACAAATTAAAAAACAATCACTGTCACACTTTTGCGCACACGATTTATTTTTTTCACCAAAGAGGAATTGTTATCGAAAAGACCGCAGCGAAAAATACATTAAAAAATAAAGATGATTGTTTTCGGTGCAACACGATACGATGCGACACTTTGCACGTCTTTGCCGCAAAAGCTCGCGAGATTCGCGCGTCAAGGCGCACAAGGAAAAAACACGCGCGTCGTCGTCGACGAGTGGGTGAGTAGTTGGTGGGGGGAGAATTGCGAGAGAGAGAGGAGAGAGAGGAGGATGATGCAGAGAGGTCCACAGCACGGGCACACGAACGAGATAGACGGATAGATGATACGGGATGTGAGGGAGGGCAAAAGAGGAGGGAGAGGAGAGAGGGCAAGAAAGAGGGAGTAGGAGATTATCAAAATGGCCGCTGTGCCGATACACCGCCGCCGCTCCGCGCGGGAACAATATTGCGCCGGGTGTCTTTAAACAAAACTAGTGTGCATGTGTAATAGTGGAAGATAATAGTGGCACAATCCATTATTGCTTGTAGTGTGTGGTTGTTGATGTATTTATAGTGGAGTCGCTGTTAATCAGCGAGCAACTCTCTCTCTAGACGTAGAAATAAGTATACAAGTAGCGATATTCGTAAATGATAGCAATGTCACGACAAAAGAATAGCCGCGTGCTTCACGAGAACAATGTTTTTTCTCTCTTTTACTTTCTCTCTCTCTCTCTACTTGTCAGTAAAACACTGCGCTTAATCCATCCTGGATTATTTTTTCCGAGATGTTGCATTCTCATGACAACATATGTATAGGTGTACATTTATAAAATGCGATTCGAGATTATTAGGATTTCAGGATTTTGACAATAATTAAATTCTCAACTCTATACTTCTTTACTACACTGTAACAAATATTGGTAAATTTTCCTAACATTTCTTAGGTAATTTCTCTAATTATTTTGGATGAGGCCATGATTATTCCACAAATGTCATTTGTCCGAACTGTCATTTTACCGAATTGCATTTATCCGAACTGTCATTTTTGCGAATTGTCATTTTTACGAATCATCAATGATCCGAAATGTCATTTTTTACCAATTGTCACTTTTGCGAAAATTGCTATAGCAAATCTATATATGTATACAAGTTTACCAGAGCAATTTTGTCAAAAATGACAATTCGTAAAAATAGCTATTCGCAAAAATGACATTTCGGAACAATGATGATTTGTAAAAATGGCAATTCGCAAAAATGACATTTCGTAAAAATGACAATTCGAAAAAATGACATTTCCAGGGTTACCACGTTTTTGCTCTTTTCAAATTTCCTGACTTTTCCAGGTTTTTAATACGAAAATGATTCAAAAATATCAATAACTTCATCTTTAAATAAATATTTAATCATTATTAATTTTTCATATAGAAATTAAAATTTTCAAAAATTTGAAACTCAATAACTTATAAGAATATTATTAAAAAACATGAAGATATCGATAACTCCAAGTCTTCGACTCGAAGTGATCGCTTTCTTCATGTTTTCTAATAATTACAACTCGCTACTTTGTTACTGTAATTTCTTCAAAAATTATTTTCATCATTACGATTATTTATTTCTAGAATTTTCAACTAAAATTCTTCATTAAGTCAATTTTTTTAATAAATAAATTTTAATAAATTTTCAAAAAGTTCTTTGAGAATTTTCAAATCAATTTGTTTACAAAATTCAATTTTACGAAATTTCAATTACTCGTGAATTCTTCAATTAAATATATATTAAAAAATAAAAACTTTAAATAATTTCAAAAAAAATTTCCCAATTAAACTTTATCAAAAAGAAAATTAATTAGACAGATTTATTAGTTAAAAATATGAAAAATTCAGATTTTCAAGGATTTTAATTTGAAACCTTTTCTAAATTCAATTATTTCTAAAAATTCAACATTCAATTATTATCTAAAATTTTAACTTAAATTAATTTTTAAATCAATTTTTATTAGAAAATTCTACTAGAATTCAATTATTTAAATACAAATAAAATACAAATAAATAAATTATTTAATAATTGAATATTTCTTAAAATACAATTACCATAAAAAATTTTATCAACAAATTCTTTAAAAAATTGACTTTTTTTGACGAATTTTAATAAAATTTTTAAGAAAAATTGCATTTTTCGAGGAATTTGATTAAAATTTTATTAAAAATAAATGAAATTGTGCAATAAGTTTTATTTATGAAAATAATTAAATTCATATAAGAATTGAGAAAATTTTTTGAAAATAATTGATATTTTGCAAAAAATTTTATTAAAAATTAAAAAAAAAATTGAATTTTGCTAAAAATTTTATTTAAATTTTTTCAAATAATTGAATTGTGCAAAAGAATTTGATTACTTTTGAAAATAATTGAATTGAAATTGAATTGAAATTCTGCAAAGATTTTTAATATTTATGAAAATAATTGAATTAAAATTTTCAGAGATTTTAATTTGAAACTTTTTGAAAATTCAATTATTTCTAAAAATTTACGCTATAATGCTTTCAATATTTAATTATAATCTAAAATTTTAACTGAAATTGATTTTTAAATCAATATTTAATTAGAAAATTCTACGATAATTCAATTATTTAATTACAAAAAAAATATTTTATTGAATAATTAAATGTTTCTTAAAATTGAACTTCTTGACAAATTTTAATAAAATTTTTAAGAATAATTTCATTTGTTGAGTTTGATGAAAATTGTATTAAAAATAATTGAAATTCTGACAAGAATTTTATTATAATTTTTGAAAATAATTGAATTCCTGAGACGAATTTTATTAAAATATATTTTTCAATAATTGAATTCTTTTGTGAAATTTTATTAAGAAAGTAGACATTGAAAATAATTAAATTTTGCCTAATTTTTGAAATTAATTAAATTTCTAACATAGAATTTTATGAAAATTATTTTGAAAAAAATTTTATTGTTAAAAAGAATTTCATTATTTATGAAAATAGTTCAATTTTTTGAAAAAATTTAATTAAAAATGTATTTAAAATAATACTTAAATTGTAATAAATGTGTAAGTAATTGAATTTCTTTGCTGAATTTTAATAAAATTTTTAAGAATATAATTACATTTTTTGAGGAATTCCATTAAAATTGTACAAAAAATTAAAAAAAATTGAAATTCTTACTACTTTAAATTAGTGGCTAAATTTTTTACTAATTCAAATTTAAAGAGTACAATTTATCCACACGCGGAAAAAAAATTCTGCTCATTTTTACTTCAATGTTTATAAATAAAAAGTACTAATTTACGCTCACCAAAGCTGCATTTTCCTGAAAAAGAAAGCGGGACTCACCTGAAAAAGAAAGAAAATTAAATTATTAGTACAATTTAGATTTGTACATTTCAAAAATAGACCTAAATTAAAACATACACTTTAAGAACACTTGTCCTTCATTTAAAACATTTTTGAACACAATCGTTTACTCATTTTTATTCAGAACTAATAATTGGTCGTATATATAAATTTTAAAAATCGTATATAAATTTGCAACTATTAGTTGTAAATGAATATTAGTTGTAAATAATATTATCTGTAAATAATATTTCTTGTAAATAATATTTGTTAGAAATACAAATTAGTTGTAAATAATATTTGTGGTAAATAAATATTAGTTGTAAATAATATTTGTTAGAAATACAAATTAGTTGTGAATAATATTTGTGGTAAATAAATATTAGTTGTAAATAATATTTAGTTGTAAATAAATATTAGTTGCAATTAATATTTAGTTGTAAATAAATATTAGTTGTAAATAAAAATTATATTACAAGAATAAATAAATAAATAGTTGTTCGACAAAAAGAAAAACGAAGAAAAAGAATCTTGTTTAGTCAGAAAAAGTTTACTATTATTTAACGACTCTTTAGATTCATTGACGGCTTCGCGGTTAGACGTAAATTTGTTTTGATTTAGAAGTAGGATTTAAAATAGAGGGATAAGAGTGTAGATAGGATGCTATGAAAACAAATATGTCTTATCGATACGCAGTTAAAAAGACCCTTTTTCTTATTTTAAAAGGCAGTTAAATCTTGTTATATCTATAAATTTCAGTCAAATTGAGTAGAAAAATCTTCTTTTTTAAAAAAAATTTCCTTTTTAAGTTATTTAACCAATTTTCATTTATCTCTACAACTGTTTTTTTATTAACATTTTCTTTATTTTTTAGTCGTAAAATTGAAATTATTTAAGTTCAGGAATGTCAAATATTTGAAAATAATTGAATTCTTTGGAAAAGTTTTAATAATCTTATTAAAAATAATTGAAATTCTGTAAAGAATTTTATTAATTCCCGTGTAGAAAAATTTCGTGGTGCTAGCTAGCAGCGCTAGACTGCATGTAAATTTACCATGTATCTAGCACTGCTAGCTAGCGCCAAGAAATTTTTCTACACGGGTTATGAAAATAATTAAATTCTTTGAAACTGATTTTATTTAATTTTTTTAAATAATTGAATTGTTGCAAAGAATTTTATAAAAAAATCCAAATAGTAGCTTATCGTCAAAAAAAGAAAAAAAAATTGTAAGTAGTAAATAGTAAAGTTTCAGTATATAGATGAGTGCGAAGCCTGTTTTCTCCTCTCTTTCTTTTAATCATACATAAATATTATCGTCGTTTTGACGAGAATATTTAATAAAATAAAAGAGCAAAAAAAAAAAGATTAAAAGAATTGCATTGATCTTTTCATATAGAAAACTGTTGCGCTTTTCTCTTTCTCTCAGAATGAGAGTGCGCATTCCCGTGAGTAATCGCATTTTGTCCGAATCAGTAGTTACGGAATATTACAGTCAGACGTCTAAGTAGTTACTACTGCGGCATTGGATTCCTTGTGAAGGGAAAACAAAAAAAAAAAGAAGCAGAAGAGAAAAAAAAATAAAAGAAATAAATAAAAGCTTCAACTCGTTGAAACTTTTCCGAGGGGAAACACTTGAAGAAATTAACTTTTTAAATATTTTGCCGGAAATTCATTTTCTTTTGTTTGTTTGTTTGTTTTTTTTTCTTTTTTGCTGCAATTCTACGCGCACATGTGAATAAAAGTTTTCATGAAAAATTACTTTCATTTATTGTGAGTATCTGCAAACTGCGAGAGCGAGTTTCCTAAATTGTTGAATGCGACAAAAAAAGGGGTTTGAATAAACTTGTGTTTCTCATTATTTATTTTTAATACTGTGCTGTGCTTTTTCTAGCCGCAACTATATTCTATATTAATAATATATATATATTACTTGTTTATTTACTATTTATATTTTACTTTTTATTATTCTACTATTTAAATAGAATTTTTGAAATAAATAATTAATTAATATCGTTGTTGAAATTCACTTCAAAGTGTACAGGGCTCGGATCGTCTTTAAGACTCAAAAAAAGTCGCTTTAGTCGCATAAATTTACAACAAAAGTCACGAAAAAGTCGCATAAAATTACCAAAGAAGTCGGAAAAAAGTCTCAAGAAAAAATTTTTTTAAAAATTTAATAAAATTTATAGCAAAATTTTAAATAGGTATTTTTAACATTTTTTTAAAAATTCTCTTTAAAATGTAAATTATTTTTATAAATAATAAAATTCTTCTCCGAAATTCAAAAATTTTAATGAAATTGTTGTCAAAATTTCAATTATCTTCATAAATAATAAAATTCTTCTCTGAAATTCAATTATTTTCAAAAGTAATAAAATTCTTCGCAGAAATTCAAAATTTTATAAATAATAAAATTCATCATAAAAATTTAATTATTTTCAAAAGTTCTGAT